GGGGCCCTGGGCAGCCTGGGCTGCTCTGAAATGTGGAGGTTGGTGGCCCTGCGTGTGGCAGGGGGTTGGAGATCTGTGATCCTTGAGATCCCTTCCAACCCTTCACATTCTGTGATTCTAGATTAAAGATTCAAATGTAGCAATAGCTTCCAGGGAAGATTTCAGAAGTTATTATTTCCTAGTTTTTTTGCAGCTTAGGGACAACTGTAGCTGTCTTAGAATGCTGTGGGTTATGTGCACTTCTTACTGTGCTTTAGGAAAAGCTTCTCTATTATTATGATAGTACCTTCTCTATTCAGCACTGTCCACTGATTTACCTCTCAGCTGATCCTGCATCAGGATAGGGCTTTTTCGAGACTGCTAAGTTAGAGTGCATCCCTGCACGATGTCTGGATACGCCTCAGCTGTAAGGCAGCTGTTCAGGTGCTGCGTGGAGCCCCTGCTTTCATTTCCACGCCAGATGCAAAATGCAGGAAACACAAAAGCCTGAAGAAACTTCGGTTCAGGCTTTACGTTGCCTGGTAAGAACCATATCATTCTTACAATAAATCCCAGCCGTGGAATGCATCCCTACTCCAGCCTGAACGGTCCCAAGTCTCAGAATTTCTCCATCGCAGAACCGCTCCGCTCCATTCATCGCCTTCGTAACCCCGATGCGACGGACGCAGGAGGGCGGTTGCGGCCCCTTTAAGGGCCGCCTCGTACCACGTGCCTCCGGAACCGGAAGTGCCCGCGGAGTCGGCCCAGGCCCCGCGGAGTCGAAGCGCCGCGGCCCAGCCATGAGCCGGCCGCCGGCTCTGCAGGCGCAGACCTGCGGTCCCTGGGAGATGAAGGAGCGCCTGGGCACCGGCGGCTTCGGCAACGTCATCCGTTGGCACAACAAGGTAAGCGGCGGCCGGCCCGCTCCTCCGGGCCCGAGCCGAGCCGCGCTCAGCCGCGCTGTGTCCGCAGGAGACCGGCGAGCAGGTGGCCATCAAACAGTGCCGGCAGGAGCTGAGCCCGCGCAACCGCGACCGCTGGGCGCTGGAGATTCAGATCATGAAGAGGTGAGCTGGCGGCGGGCGGGAGCGGGGCCTGGCGCTGCCGGCCGGGCTGAGCGGAGCTGAACGCCGCCAATCCGCCGGGCCCGGCCCTGCGATGTGCGTTGTGATGGTTGCGATAAGGGAAGGGCGGGAGAATCGTATAGAACCGTGGGATCGTATAGAATCACAGCACTATAAGATCATATAGAAGCATATAGAATCAGAGAATCACAAGGTTGGAAACGACCTGCAAGATCATCGAGTCCAACCGCCCTCCCCTCACCACTGCTACCACAAGCACTAAACCAGATCTTGCAGCTCCTCATCCTCATCCAGCTCCTCATCCATCTTGAACGCTGCCAGGGACAGCGACTCCACCACCTCCCTGTGCAGCCATTGCAGTGCCTGAGAGAACAAGTTCTTCCTTAAGTCTAACCTAAACCTCCTCTGCTTCAACTTGTGGCCATTTCCTCAGGTTCTGTTTGTTGCCTGGGAGAAGAGGCCAAACCCCTCCTCACCACAGCCTCCCTTCAGGAAGCTGTAGGGTGCAGTGATGTCTCCCCTGAGCCTCCTCTTCTCCAGACTGAACGATCCCAGCTCCCTCAGCCACTCCTCATAAGACTTGTGCTCCAGACCCCTCACCATTTGTGTTGCCCTTCTCTGGATGCTTTCCTCAATGTCTTTTTTTGTAGTGAGGGGCCCAAAACTGAATACAGTACTCTGAACATGCTGAGGAAGATCTCGCTTTGTTATTCCTCACAGCTTTCTTCTTCAGCTGTTCTGCTGGTGTCTTTGGTGTTAAAACAGTTCTGCTATATTCAAGCACGTGCTGGGCTGTGCTTTGGACTGATTGCAGCTGGGGTCCTGCTGGGGGGGGGTGGGAGCAGGCTGTCAGCATTGAGCTTTAAGTGTAGTTCTGTGCACACCTGTTGTGGGTGTGTTTGTTCATGGAAAGCACTGGCTGCAGATAGAGCTGGGATGAGTCTGTAGGTCTGTGAGGGATGGATGAATTGCAGGCCTTTAGAACTGGCTGTTGCAGTTTCTAAAGCCATTCATGGCCTTGTAGGACTTAAGGTGACAATCACAACATGTGAGACTATGCACCTATTCAGGAAGGTGTTTATCCCAGGTTCTGATGATTGCCTTGTATTTGCCTTGTTTTTGTTTCTCAGGCTGAACCATCCAAACGTGGTGGCTGCCCGTGATGTTCCTGAGGGAATGCAGAAGCTTGCACCAAATGATTTACCGTTGCTGGCCATGGAGTACTGCCAGGGTGGAGACCTCCGCAAGGTGGGGTCACCGGGGTGGTGGTGTGGTTGAACCCAGCAGGTGGCAGCCATTCACTCACTGTCGTCTCCTTCCCAGTGAGATGGGGGAGAGAATTGAAATAAATAAATAAATAAAAACTTGGACTTCACAGAATGGCCAGGGTTGGAAGGGACCTCAAGGATCACAGAGCTCCAACCCCCTGCCACACACACAGCCACCAACCTCCACATTTCATAGCAGCCCAGGGCTCCATCCAACCTGGCCTGGAACACCTCCAGGGATGGACGGGGCATCCACAGCCTCTCTGGGCAGCTGTTCCAGCACCTCACCATTCTCACAGCAAAGAACTTCCCCCTGACATCCAAACTCAATCTTCCCTCCCTCAACTTCAAGCCATTTCCCCTTGTCCTGCTGTTATCTCCCCTTTCCAAGAGTTGATTCCCCTCCTGTTTGTAGGCTCCCTTTAGGTACTGAAAGGCTGCAAAGGACTTGTGGGTTGAGATAAAAATCTGTTTACTGAGTTAGAGAAAAGGATAATAATTGTGATCAATATGTATGGGTAGATAAATTGAAATTTGTGACAAATGATGCACAGGCATATGCACACCACCCCTCAGCCAATGCCATGCTAGCACTCCATATCCTTTCTAGCAGTTTAAGTCAGCTGTTTTAATCCTGTTCCCTCCTAGCACCTTGGGCCTTTGCTTAGACTGGCCCTGACTCTGTACAGTACTACTTAGCAGCAACTATAAACGTTGGTGTGTTATCAACATTGTTTTTTTCATAGAACCAAAACATCATCACACCCAGCACTCTGAAGAAAACAGCACCGCCCCAGCTGAAGCTAAGACAGGTGGTGGTGGTGAAAGTGCTGGTAGTGGCTAAAGGTTGGATTAGCTTCCCAGTGGAGTGGAACCTGGGATTAAAGAGACAGTTTTTAGAAAGTATTTTCATGTTCTGATGCTTCCTAATTCTTTACCAACAGGATTTTTTACCGACAGGATTTTACTAGTTTGTCCTTGATAAAGTTCTGAAAATTTCTGTGCTTTTTGAAACTTTTGACTCTTATTTGGCTGCAAGTAACAATACATCCATTTTGCATGTAGAAGATGAGAGCATGTGTGAAGGATATGCAACAGGATCTGGAGTATGTCCAAGATCATTGTAGCTCAAGATGCTACAGTGCATCTGAGCATTGTATCCCTATCTGTAATAGTAAGATAAGTAATTGTATTTTTTTCCTATTATCTTATCTTACTATTTTTTTTTAAACCTTTGCTGTAACCTGCCCATAGGTGAGACCTTTAACTTACAGCTGACAGTGGAGCTGACATTGCCAGGCTCCAGGAAAAATGCTTATGAAGGACACAGCAAAGTCGCAGCAACACTGATTTTTGTCCACCCACCCTTTCTTATCCCATGGATACATCGAGGCTTGAAGCTCTAATTATTACTATGAGGGACCCCAGTTCCATGGTTTTGCCTGTAAAAAAAATTCAGTTGTTCATGCTTAAACATCTTGTGTTTTGACAGACTGTGGGACTGAGATCCTTCAGTGGGATATAGGATGGAGAAGCAGTAGCATGTGGTATGGAGAAGCTGTGATTTGTGATGTTTTCTTGCAGTACCTGAATCAGCTGGAGAATTGCTGTGGTTTGCGGGAAGAAGCTATTCTCATCTTACTATCTGATATTGGTAAGTGATGGCAATATCTTCACGAGTCTGAGCGACAGAAGTGTTGAATCACTGCAGCAGTGACTTTAACCAGTATTCTTGTTTTGCTGACCCACTTTGTAAGAGAATGAGCCTTTGAGGTTTTCTTAATTTTTGTTTTTTCTTGACGCTTTCCGCCTGGAAAAAGCACCTTGGAACTGCTATCAAGTTTTTGTTTTTCTTATTTTTCCTAGCAACACACTTTTTAATTTTATCCAGGAAAAAAAAGAGACATTGTGAAGTATAACTTTGAGAAAGTGTGGAAAATAAAGGCCGTTTATTTTGACTATGGTGTATTCTTAAGATCAGGTTTTTATCTTGCTTAGATAGCATTTCCTAGTTTTGGGGTGGCAGTGGCTCTGTGTGAAAATTTGGAGAATTCTTGTGAATCTGAAGAATTTTGGAGGTGAAATGGGGACAGCACCACTTTATGGACGGAACAGAAAAAGATGTATGGCTTTTGGATCTGGATTTAAAACTGAAGAAATTGGCAAAGAAGAGCTGAGTAGAGGCATTTATCTGTTGAAGAGATGTGTTTTACTTCTGCCAGCTGTTGCAGTTTTTTTTTTTTTAACCTTTAGTACTTGGGCATGGGTACAGAAAATGATTTGAAGAGAAAGAAATCTACTGTAACTTTTAAAAATGTCATGCCAAGAGAACAGACTTGTGTCCAGAAGTGTTTGGTGCTTTTTCCTCTTGCACTTGGAATTTTATTTTTCAGTCAATGATTTTGTCCTTTGTACAAGATTCAACTCAAACACCATGCTTTTGTACCACGTAGAAGTGAAGCCTTAGCAAGCTCATACTAGGTACTTTTACATTCTTAGCAAGTGGCTCTTTGTGTCTCAGCCTCTGCTCTCAGGTACCTTCATGAGAACAGGATCATCCACAGAGACTTGAAACCAGAGAACATTGTGCTGCAGCAAGGAGAGCAAAGGGTAAGCAGTAACGTGGTGTCTCTGCCTACACAGACAGGTAAATGTAAGTGGAGAATGTGTGTGTGCTTGCTGCAGTTAAAGTGGTGAACATGCAGAAGCAGTCAACCTAGGGTAACAGCTCTCTCAGATCTGTGAGTCGTTCAGCACCCTTCCTGCATATCTTTGAAGAGCTGAACTGTTTTTGTCTGCTGAATGTATACAGCAAAACTTACCTCGTGTTCTTTTTTTCTGTTTTATGTTTCAGTTAATACACAAAATCATTGACCTTGGATATGCTAAGGAGTTGGATCAGGGTAGCTTATGCACATCCTTTGTTGGGACACTACAGTACTTGGTAAGGAAGGAATTCAGCTAGATGGGTGAATCTCACTTTGTGGGACAGAATTAACAGTGTAATTCAAGTTTGGACTGGGATGAAGTAATTGTCTTGGTATGACGTGCATTTGGAGTGCTGCAGCTGACAAAGATAAGTTTCCTTCTCCTGCCTTGTTTCCTTCTGCTGCCTTGTTTCCTTCTCCTTCCTCCCACCCCCACTGGATTATCACAGTGTCTATGATAACACTGTGTTCTGTATTTATAAGAAGCAGGAGTGTTCTGTGAGATCTCAAAGCTCATGAGAAGCAGTGTTTCAGCACAGCCATTAATGTGATACAAATGTTAATGAGCTCTTAAGAGGCAGAGAGAGCTGAGAGATGGATGGCTTTGACTTCTGCATGTGTAAACTGTCTCAGGCTCCAGAGCTGCTGGAACAGCAGAAGTACACGGTTACAGTGGATTACTGGAGCTTTGGCACACTGGCTTTTGAATGCATTACAGGCTTCAGACCATTCCTACCCAACTGGCAGCCAGTACAATGGTGAGTGACCTTGGGCCAGGTGATAAAAAGAATGCATGCAGTGCCACTGTCCTGTCTGTGGGAAGTAGAGGTGTGGTCCCTTGATTCTTTAGGGTAATATCTCTGTATTCCATACCCTTATGGAGATTGACTTCTTTTACTGGAGTTTGATCTACTTGAGCAAGTTGAGCATTCCTTAGATTTCTCTTTGGAATCGGGGCTGGCTTCTGCAGGGCAAGTTGCAGAAACTCAAGCAGTGTCTTTGTTTTAACCGTAAAAATTTGCTGGGAAAGGCAAGTGATAACTTCACTATTGTACTTGCTTGGAATTCATTAGGCATACAAAAGTGCGACAGAAGAGTGAGCTGGATATTGTTGTTTCAGAAGACTTATCTGGAGAAGTCAAATTTTCCAGCAGTTTACCCTGCCCAAACAATCTAAACAGGTGAGGACTAGAAATCTGTTGTGATCTGCTGTGACATACTGAAATGAATTTCTTACTCTGTGAATGGACGTTTGGAGTCCATGGAATGGACTAACAATTATTTTGTATGCCTTTCTGTAAATAAGTTGAGTGCTTGACACAAACAATGCTTGTGTACCTTATCAGACATGTAGGTGAGTCTCCATTTCTGCCTTCTAAATAGAGCATTTACACTCGGGAAAAGAAAATTGGTTGTCAGTTCTCCTGCAGAGACTCAGCCAGGTGATGACTACAGATGCACTTCCTTTTCTGATCCCATTCTTGCTTTGGTCCTTCAGTGTTTTGGCTGGGAAACTGGAGAAATGGCTGCAACTCATGTTAATGTGGCACCCACGGCAGAGAGGTACAGATCCTGTGTATGGGCCCAATGGGTGTTTCAAAGCTTTGGATGACATCTTGAATTTGAAGGTGAGTAACGCACCAGGATTGCTTTGAAAACTTTTCCAGAGAGCAGTTGAACCTACTCCATGGGTTGAGTCATGAGCCTAGGAAGAGGAAAAGCACAGAATCTTACTTAGGAGTGTGCTTGCCTCATGCTTTTTGGAGAAGTTGATCGTGTTGGGTGTAGCAAATAGCAAACACAATTTGGTCTTGTATTCTGGCAAAGGTTTCTACTGAAAAAGCTGTTTAATTGGCATGACTCTCTTCCAGCTGATGAAGGATGAGGTCTTGAGCATAATGTTATGAAGTAGCTGCAAAGTGACTTCTTGAACTTTGCAAGTGCTTTGAAACAGTTTATTGGTCGTCATTGTCTTAGTCCAGAGATTTCTGCTCAAACATAACCTATGCATTTTCAGCCCTTCTCATGTCACACTGATCTCCTTTTAGTTACTGCATGTTTTGAATATGGTTACGGGAACTGTGCACACCTACCCTGTGACAGAGGAAGAGACTCTGCAAACAGTGAAGGCCAGGATCCAGTCAGATACTGGGATCCCAGAGCAGGATCAGGAGCTCCTGCAGGAGGCTGGTCTTGCATTGTTTACTCAGAAGCATACAGCTGATAGCAAGGTGAGTCTGGATATTCCCCTTCCTTGGCTGTTCAGTGAATTTGCAAGTGCAGCTCTTGCACTGGGAGTACAGCACTTCCTGCTGTTCTGGCAGGCTTTAGTCATAGCAACCACTTAGACCTGATCCCTTGCAGAATAGGCACCATGTTCTCTTGGGGGGGAAAAAAAAAAAGCATTTTGTTTGTGGTGTTATTGAGGCTTGCTGTTTTTGAAAGAACTCCGTTGGGTTCTTCTTTCTTCTGCAGGTGAATGATGCTGCAGTTGCAGACACAGACCTCCTCTTCCTCTTTGATAATCAGAAAGTTTCCTATGAGGCTCAGGTTGCCTTGCGACCTCATCCGGAAAGTGTTGACTACATCCGTAAGGACTTTCTCTAGCATGAATGTGAGAGGTTGTTCATGTTGAGAGGGCTGCCTGTATTCTCTAGTCTGTATCATGTGCAAAGAGCAGAGAGGGATTTTATATATTGGTACTGGTGAAGCAATAAAACAGTCTGGGATAGCATTTATTCAGCTTTTAAAAATAACTGAGGGAAGGAAGGGTTTAATAACACTGGGGAGGCTGCATAGAGGGTAGCCAGCTATAAAGCTTACTAGAGGTTTGGCTGCATGCCTTTCAAAGGAGTGATGTTTCAGTCTGTTTTGTCACACAATAATAGGACTTTTTAAGTTTCATACTGATTTCCTTCCACCCATTTTTCTGTTTCCAGTTCAGGATCCAAAGAAGAATCTGCACTTTTTCCAGCTGCGGAAAGTTTGGGGTCAGATCTGGCACACAATCAGGATGCTGAAAGAGGATTGTAACCGGCTGCAGCAGGGACAGCGAGCAGCCATGTACGGTGGCAGTCTCACTGGAATACATATTATTGCCTTTGCTCCCTGGTGCAAGTGAAAGGACAGGAATAGGATCCTGTTAGAATGGGGAAGCCCATGAGTGGAGCTGTTAACAACTAGTGGAAAACTGGGAATTGTGTCCTTTAGCACAGCTGCTTTTGTGCTCACTGCTATGCTCTGTCGTATCTACTTTTGTTGTAAGTGGAAGCCTGCATTTATAACTTGGGAGGATAATAGGATATTCTTGTCCATGCAGGATGAATCTATTGCGTTACAACAGTACTCTCTCAAAGATGAAGAATTCTATGGCCTCCCTTTCCCAGCAGCTGAAAGCAAAACTGGACTTTTTCAAAACAAGCATTCAGATTGATCTTGAGAAGTATAAAGAGCAGATTGAATTTGGAATTAGTGAGTATAGTGTCTTGCAGACAGAGGTCTTTTACATCACACACACAGTATCTTACCTTTCCCTGTGAGAATTTGAAAAAAAACACAATTGTTCTTTTTTCATTCCTGTAGCTTCTGAGAAGCTGCTCTTTGCCTGGAAAGAGATGGAGCAAGCTGTGGAACTTTGTGGTCGGGTATGTTTCTAAATCTTCATCACTTATCCTAAGAAAGAAAGGTTATTTATTCCCCTTTGTTCTCCTTTAAATAGAAACCTACTGTGTCTGTGCCGACTCCACACATCGCACTGCCTTGGTTTGCATTGCATCTTTTCTTTTTTCTTTCACCAGTTTTTGCAAGGCCTTAGGGAGTGAGGGTGATCTTGCAGAATGTCAGAAGAGATTTTGCAATGGTTGCACTCAGAGGTCCAGCTAAACAAGCCCGGAGGTAGATTTTTATCAAGAAAGCTGAAAGAAGGATTTGGGGTAGTAGGTTAAACTGAATAGTAAAACAAATGATTAGATGATTGAACACAAGACAGTGTAATCTCTGTAAGTACAGCTAAGGGCCCTCCCAAATGAGGAGTGAAAAGTAACTGGTTGCATTAGTCTTATTCTGTGCCAACACTTCTTGCTCCTTCTCTAGTTGAAGGATGTGCAGTGGTGAAGGACTGTCTGACAAGTGACAGCTTCTGCATATCAACAAGTTCTGGTGAAAAGCAGAACTTGGGTTGCCAGTACTGGATGCAGTTGTATGCCAAATGAAAGGGGGGAAGAAACGATGATAGGTAGGATGAGAGAAGAAATCTGGAGCAGTGAATAAATAAGGAGGAAGCATTGCAGCCTGGAATTTAGTGCCACGTGTATTATGAAGCTTGGTCCTTTGTCACAGACCAAATTTATCAACAAAAAAAAATATCAGAAACTATTTTATTCCAGAGCAGAGAGCTCATTTATTTGGAATGAATTCACTCATGTTCTCACTTGTCTTTGCCCAAGACTGTTTGCTGCTTTGTTGACATGTTTAGAAATATGAATGAGAAAGGAAGAGTTGGTGAGTAGTAGTGTCTTTTAGTATGTGCCTGCCTCATTGCTTATATTCTGCTCTGTTTTCAGGAGGATGATGTGGATGAGCTAGTGAAGAGAATGATGGCCTTGCAAACAGATATTGTGGACCTTCAGAGAAGCCCACTGGGTCGTAAACAAGGAGGAACACTGGAGGATTTGTAAGTTGCACGGTCTTCAATGTCAGATGCAGGAGTGCTGCTAGCAAAACTTAATCCCTTATTCACTTCAGGACAATGAAATTGCTCTCTTCAGTTTAAATTATGGGGAACTTAAAAAATTAAAACCTAACAAGAAAAAGTTTGACTCCTCACCTGTTGATCTGAAATAGCGGAATGTTATAGAAGACATTTTAGTTCTTGAATTACTCATTCATAATTTAGGTCCTAAAGAAATCCTTTGTGTTCTGTGCCTTTTTCTTCTAGAGAAGAACAAGCCAGAGAGTTGTACCGGAGACTGAGAGAGAAACCAAGAGGTAAAAGATATTTTATGTCAAGTTCAGCTTGCTTTCAGTGGGTTGTAACTTTGAAGATGGAATAATCTGCATTGAGAAAACTTTCTCTGCGTTTTAGGCCTGCACTTATGTTAGCTGTACGTGGAGTCTTCTGGATTTGCCTATTTTGGAGAGGGGAGTCAGGGATTCAATTTTAAACCAGGCCAGCCTTGCTTTCTTGACACCTTCTGAGCTTTTCCTGGAACTTCTGAGCTCTTCTCAGAGCAAGCTGTTACTGCAAGCGTATGCTGCTGCTTCATTTTCTGTGTAGGAAGCATGAAAGACACAGCTGGTTGTTTGAGCAGCTGTACAGTCCTAAGGCAGTAAACCCACCCTACCAACTCTGCTTTCCAGTTCTCATCTCTTGGTGGCTAAAAAGCAGTGCACTTCATCCCACCCAAACATGCATGTCCTTTATATTTGGGATGTTTCAGGATTGAAGAAAAGGTGGCAACAAACCACTAAGAAGCTTCTCGCTGTAATAAAAGCCTACTTCTCTGGGTAATATTCTGACTCTCATTCCAGATCAGAGGACAAGTGGTGACAGCCAAGAAATAGTACGGTTGCTCTTACAAGCAATCCAGACCTTTGAAAAAAAAGTCCGAGTCATTTATGCTCAACTCAGGTGAGTTTGTAGTTAGCTTTTATTGACTATTGAAAAAATGTTTCTTCTGTCAGCAAGGGGTTCTGTTCTAGCAATATAAGAAACAAGTTTACCTGTGTTATAGGGGTTAAGAAACTTCAGAAAACTTCCCCTAATGCAATTGATGATGTGTGATCTAATTTATTATTATTTTGTTTTTGTAAAGCAAAACTGTAGTTTGCAAGCAGAAGGCACTGGAATTGTTCCCCAGAGTGGAGAAAGTGATGAATCTCATGAATGAAGATGAAGAAACAGTTGTAAGGCTTCAGGAGAAACGACAGAAAGAACTGTGGAACTTACTGAAAATTGCTTGTGTAAGTAAAATAAAAACTCTGCTCTATTGTTAAAATAGTAGCACACCCAAGTTACAGAAATAAGTTTAGTTTATCCTATGGTTGTTTGTCTTCATTACCTTAAGTTAGGATTAAAGATGGTTTCTAGGCTGTAGTGGTGTTTTTAGATGGTCTTGTGTTGCTGGCTATTGGAAGTAAGTGCAAAGAATTGCAGTTTCAATCTGCTGTCTTGTCTTTAGAGTAAAGTACGTGGTCCTGTTAGTGGCAGTCCAGAGAGCATGAACATGTCACGTCTTAATAGCCCTGGTCAGCTGCTGCTGCAGGTCCCTTCTGGAACCTACGCCTTACCAGAATCTGTCAGGAAAAGGTGAGCTGAAGGCTGGAGTTCTGCTACTGCTAGTGTCAGCACTGCCATACAGAAGCTTTCTTACGTTTCATGCTTAGTGTTCAGTTTCCAGTGTCAGTCTTACCTACCCAGTGGCTGCTTTAGTTTGGTTGGTTGGTTGTTTTTTCTGGGGTTTGTGAATATTCCTTATGAACAACTGGAAATAAATATAGCTGCATGCCCCCCACTTCAATAAATAGAGCTTGTTTTATCTGGACTTGCTGGGCTTGCTTGAAGTGCACTGACAGCAGGAATTGTTATTGTGGAAGGTGATGAATGGTAGCAGGGCTATGTCAGGAGATTGCTCTACCAAGCACCTGTAGTTCTGGCTTGTTTAAAGCAACTGGTCACTAATTAGAATGAAACCTGAGCTTGTTTATTTGTATGTTGCTTCATGTTTTCGTTTATAGGCTGCTCTAAAACATTTTCTCTAGTGGCAGTGGCTCCATGTAAGAACCCAATTCCAATCTGAACATGCTTCCTTTTTTCCCATGCCAGTAAGCCTGGGGATGCCACTGACTTCCCGTTGCAAAACAAGTTAATAAGCTGATTGCTAAAGGTTAATGTTCCTCAGTGTTGTGCAGTATACCTTCACAAAGTATTTCCTAGAGAAACTTCCATGGAAAATAATTGTCAAACACTCTCCTCTTTCAGTGAGGAGCTACTGCTGGAATCACAGAAACTGTGTAGCCAACTAGAAAACGTGATGCATGACACGATGAAGGATCAGGAGCAGAGCTTTATGGTAAAATGCTTGATATTCTTGTAGAAGTGTGGACTAGGGAAGCTTATTGCTTAAAACTTCTGTTCGTGTACCTCTGACAACTCAATAAGTGAAATGGTTAACAGAAACCTGGAATTATGTGAAATGAAACCACTTGTTCTCCCACTTGAACTGCTGACACATTCCCTGCTTGTTGAGAGTGGGGGCCACATCTTTGGGTTCTCAGTCATTTTATGCCAAATTGTAAAGCAGAAGGGATAATCGGACTTCCCTTTCTTGGAAGGGCAGAGGCAAGTGGGGGAGGTACTTGTCTGTGGTACAAAAATATTGCAAAACTGCACTTTTCCCATTGGGATGGATCTGTGGTAGCTACACAGGTGTGCAGGGATGCTTATTTACTGCAGTAGAGTACTGACAAGCAAGTAAAATATAGAAGGAAACAGTTTCAGGTTGTGTTTTTTCATTTAAATAAATCACATCGTTCATCATGAAGCTACACTGACCAAGTTGTTTGCAGTAAAGTTTTTAAATCTTTGCAATCTCACATACAAGCTAGCACTGAACTTTGTATTTCTAACTGTTTTTACTTCAGGCTCTCGACTGGAGCTGGCTTCAGCTTCAGGCAGAAGAAAGAAGCAGTCCAGAACAAACCCATATGTAAAATCACCTCAACTGCCTTTTAAGACATGCTACCTGAGTAAGCCAACTGTGATAATCTGCTGCCTCTAGAAAGGGAAGTGCCTCTTTTTACTGCTGCCTACTGCTTATGTGAGATACATGGCACAGCTTCTAGTATCCACATCTCAGATACTTTATTTCTGAAAGATACAGTAGGAAATGCCTATCCTAACTGCTTGGAAAAAGTTCTTAACAGTGCCTTAAGACAGCAGATATTGATGTTTCTTCCCTTAGGCACCATGTGTGGTTGTTCTTCTGCCTTTCAAGCTTTCTGATGGAAAATGGACAATGCATGCAGTCAGCTTGCACTGTCACTGGTATATGTCACCTTCCTAATACACCTGAACTGTGAACACATTTTCTTAGGCTTTGCTGATTTGCACTTTTTTTCTTAAATGTAACAGTTATAATTAATACTTGTTTCCTGTATGGGAACGAAATTATCTAAAGTGTGAACTTTTTGTTTGTTCTTTTTAATGTACTCAAAACGTTTTAATGAAAGAGCTGATTTTACTGTATAGGCCTCTTAAATGTGAGGTAAAGGTGTTAGCTTAAAGAGCACAGAAAAGCAAATTGTTTTCCAGTTAAAATTCTAGAGCACTGCAGCACCTCTCCTGTAGAAAAGGCACTTCATAGCCTAGAACAGAGAAAGGCTTAGTGGTGAATTTGATCACTGTATATAAAACACCTGAATGGAATAAGCAATGAAGATGGAATCTGGTTTTTTTTTCTTCCAACTGTGACTGATTTATTTCATTCTGACATAAAACAAAATTTTGCACAACAGCACGGATCACCTTTTATAAAAGGGAGTGAAATACAGGACATGCAATACAGTACAATAAGGGGAAGAGGTGGAATATTCTTCTCCTTTTAAGAACCCATTTAGAATATGATAAACAAGTGAAATGTGGCACAAACATCAGAGCTTCCATGCATGCCTTCAAGTATCTTCTGTTAGAGGTGCTTGTACTTTCTGGACTTCAGTGTTAGGGTAAAAGCATACTTTAGAAGGAGTAGAAAGTTCACACTTCTTGAGACTTCAGTACATTGTTAAGGCCAGAACCCTTTGGGTACACTTTACCTTTATCTTCCAGAGCACCATCTGTTGTTTTACTTAAAAATGCATTAAGCTTCCAGCTCAAATCCTAGACCAACTTTGTGACCTCCAGCACTGAAATTCTTGCCATCAATCAAGCCTGAGAGGGTCAGCTTTACACCTACAAAAGCAAGTAATGAGATTCTAATCTTCCCTTATAACATCCATCTGCCATCCCCCTCCCCCTTCAAGTACACTAATGTGTCTCAATTGCTATAGGACCTTTATCTACATGCACAGCCTTTACTTCTATGAATCTGTGAAAATTTCTAAGTAATATTTTTTGTTTGCTCATTTGGTTGGGCTTTTTTGCCATCTATCTTTTCTACTCCAGAGATAATATTAAAATAACACACAATGCTACCACTTGAACTTACGTACCAGGTCGAAGAGCAAGAGTGTAACCAATTCCAATCAGGCTGGCATTATTTACTTTAGCCTGCAGGAAATAAAAGAAATCACACCAATAAATAAATATTCAGATAATCATCCTGGTACCCCAAGAAAGGAGCTTACATGTTATTGGTCCAGCTACTTGTAGACTAACCTCTAGCAGTGGCACATTTCAGTCTTCTTTCACACAAGTTTCTAGCCAGCTTAATTTCACTACATTCCTTGAATTCAAACTGTAACAGGCTTGAGTGATAGCTCTGATCTTTAAATTGTGACATATGTAAAGGTTCTATATCAAGAGGCAGCCTTGTTTTTAATATACAAATGAGTAAGCAACAAATATATGAACATGGAAACTTTTTTCTAAACTGACTTTGAGCTGGTCATGTTTTTAATTCTAGCCAAATTATCCTGGAATTAATTAACTAAGTGCTTAGTGTTACCATGTATTCAGTTACTTCTATTTGCTGGTGGGCATGTTTTCTCTCTGAGACATCTCTTGCCAGTGCTCAGCTCCCCTTCTTTCTCTTTTTGGGCCCTGGTATTCCTGCAAAACTTTGCAGGTGTTAATATCAACACCTGTGGTCCTAGTTGAAATCTGAACCACAACAGAAGCAACAGTTTGTTATCTACTCTAATTTCTTAGGAAGTAGCAGAAGCAACTATTTCACACCACTAATTTTGAGCATTTAAGAGAACTTGGAAATACTTCTTCCTTTATAAAAATCCTTACCACAATGGAAGTCTTCTCATCCAGTTGGTACTTAGCAGCAATTCCAAAACGCGTGTTGTTACTGCCAGCAGTCCATGCAAGATTGACTGATGTCTCAACCTTATTATTAACCTTCTGATAAATAGACCCACCAAACTCTGTGCCATCATTCCTGTTTGTAAGAGATGAAAGCATGTAAAGATCTGCCTTCTTGAGAAAAAAGAAGCTCTTGAGATTAACCCTTTCTTTCCCAAGTCATGTGATCGTTATCTCTAAATGAACTGAGCATTCCATGGACCTACAGTCATCTCCTTCCTAGCTGGAGCTGATGTTATTCAAAGCATGTGTAACAGACCAAGATTTTCTGACAGTCGAGACGCAAGGTTTGAAATTCTGATAGAAATACCTTGTGTGTCTCAAGAAAAGCCCGTGGTAATGCATAAAGGGGCAGAGGCAGCTGTGGGAATGAGGAGACCAAAAACAATACTATTGCATGGCAGTTGTTCTCACTGCATTCGAAGGCTCCCAGAGCATCTGAGTGCCAAGGCCAGAACTACATTAAGATGACTGCTGGAAACACTCAAGCATGATGCAGCAGGCACCTCCTTCCTCCACTTTGGCTATTTCTGAGACACAGATTTTCTTCTCGGAAGAAGAAGGACATTATAGCTTAACTGAAGACTCTTATTGCTAATACAGAAATCGCAGTTTACAGATTTCATTCCAAATTAACAGTATAAAGTGCCTTTTTACCACTATCTTATGTAGACACAACTAAAATTACCCTGAATCACAGTTGCAAAAGACAGTTGAAAGTTGAAAAGTTGCCTCTGCTTTAATTGTACTGAAAATGGAATCACAGAATGAGAATTACTTTGCAACAAATCAGCATCTTCCTTCATAATCCCCCTCCCCCTTTTTTTTTTAAACTTAGCTCAGTTAATTCTTACTACTCATCAGTTTGGTTTCTCCAAGAATGTTTTCCAAGTGCAAATCAATACTTACACGTTAGTGTGCAGCTGAAAGTCTCCTGCCTTATATCCCAAGGCAAAGTTGTTTTGTGAAAGCTTAGATTTGGCTGTATCAAAAGCCATCTGATAGCCAGCAAGCCAGCCTTCATAACCCAGCACTGCCCAGCCATAAATGGTTGGTCCAGAGAGATCAATGTCTATATTGCAGCCTAGGTTTACGTATTCTCTTTTGTAGGAAGTCTTCAATTTTCCACTCTTCTTCCTGAAGAGAAACAGGCCATTTTATTCCTGGTGGTATATCATAGGAGTAGTTTTAGTCCCATATGCATGTCCCTTAAGTCTAGTTAGTTAAATGATGGTAATGCCTACTCAAACAAGTATCACTGATATATGTATTTTGGTGCTACTTGTTCCACCATCTCAAAATCCTTGAAATCATCGAGAAGTTTATGGGAAATAAATAAGGGTTGGGTTTGTTTTTGTTTTGTTTTTTAATTTCCCAGAAACCATCAGTTCTCAAATCTTGTTCTTCACAAACAAGTGCAGTGTACCATGGTATCATCTGTTTCTTTCAGCACCATCTGTGACATCTCACACTGATAGCTGGTCTTTTATTGTCTTTGGCTATTCATATATCTCTCATGTTCCTTCACTGGTCAATTCCCTCCATCATTCTCTCACATGCAGTGCCTGCTTTCCTTCCTTCTTCACTGCAGGATCCCACTCTCCTCTACTGAAAACAAATTTCCTCATCTTCCATGCATCATCCATTTGGCCAGCCTTCTGGAGAAGCATGTCTGTCAGTGTGTCTTTCTGCTCATCTTGCTATCACTTCATAGTTAACCACCAAAAATAATGTATCACCTCCCTCATCCTCACCCCAACCTTGTTTATATTCCTTATTGAAGGCCCCTGTCAAACCTAGGCCCAGGGGCTCATTTTTTAACTCCTTTTTTATTTCCTTATATTCAATTAATACCTTGAACAACAACTGTTTTGTTATGCTGACTCCAATGACAGACAATACCAGTAATTAATTATGAAGTCTCAAGCTTCATCTATAGACATATGTACCCTGTATATACTCCTCTCCTCTCTACTGTTAACCAAAAGAAATCAGTAATAAGAGAAGACAAAAGTATGCTATTGCAGTGCTTATCATAATTAATATGCCATTCAATTGTGCATAGCCATATGCCCACAAGCTTTAGGGAAAATCAGTACTTTGCTCAGTGTTCCTAAGGCACCGAGTGGGCAGCAAATGGACCACAAACACCATCACAAAGACAGTACAAATTAAGTAGTGAATGTAAAACATAACTGTGTAAAAGGACAGTTAGAGAAACATAATATCTACTCTACAGTGAAACATTTGCAGTGGCCAAAAAGCCAAAAAATCAATCTCAGCACATTCTTCAGAGCCCACTGCCTTCAAAATACTCTACAGTGCAGGACAGGAATTTCTTGTTGCAGTATTTGAATATGACCATTCAGTGACAGTGTATTTTGAGCATTTACACAATGAACAGTACAAGGATTTCTAATCAAAAGGTAAAGACAATTCTAGGGCTTCCCAGGTTAAAGTAACAGAAAATATTTACCCTGTATTTGGTACAAATATAGTGTCAAGAGCAACCTTCAATCCTTCAGCCAACTGTTAAGAAAAACAGAGAAGTCTGCTCACAGCTCTGTCAAAATGTGGTTTCTAGTACTATGGCACTACTTCAGGTCTTAAGAGATGACACAACACGAAGGGAAAATCTCACACATTTTTACCATGAAATCTGTACATGCTGTATGATAAGAGCTGTCCTGCCTCATTTTGAGCTGAGCAGCATTTTCCATTTTAAAGTATTGGTTAAAGCACAAAACCGTAACTACAAAAGGTGATGGACATACACAGTGGAGGGCACCACAGAACTTTCATTACCTTTGGCACTATTGCCTTATGCTGTAGGCACTTTGTAAAAAGCATAAAGCTACTGACTTTGAAAAGGAGTTATTTATTTTAAGAAACTCTTTGCTCAAGCAACGCCAAGCTGTAAAAACTCATCTTTCTCTTCAACCTCACAAAACATTCAGTCTCAAGGTAGCCAAACTTACAGCTTTCTGTATTAAAACATTAAAAAGGAGAGGCTCCTCTTTGGTTTTCTTTTATGAATGCAGCAGTGACAGCACTAGATAGCTAGACTTGATCTTCAAACAAAAACTGCTTAGATTGGATAACAGTGATATTCATTCAACTAGCTGATCTGGCACGCCTGCATCAGCAGTCATTCTGTACTTTTGGATCATAATGTAGCAGCACTTTGCTGTGAGGATCCTTGCACTCCCCACCCCTCAAAATTCATGCTGCTTCTCAGTCTGAACATCTGCAAATACAGCATAACTTTTTTTTTCTTTTTTTTTAGTACTTCAGGTAGTTTTGTGTTTCAGTGTCTTCTGTTCAACTCAATACTACTGTCTCATACCAATTGCAGAAACATTTTTAGAGAATTAACTTCCTCTTACCTGATCCTCCATGGAAACTTCTGTTCCCAATGTGTTGTCTGTGTTCCACTTCTGAATGAATGTAAGTCCATAGTCTTTGATCTTATACTTGGTTTCTAGATTACCCAAAGCCTTGCCTGTGTCTGTATTGGAAGAACCAGTTGCAGTAAATTCCTACCAAGAGGAAAACAAGAGTTTCATCACTCTAGATACTTTAAATTTGTCCACTTGTCAAATGCTAGCACTCAAACACTTGCTGACTTCAGACCTTTCAACAGAGCACTCCTCCCTGTCTACAAATAAAATAATTATTTTTGCATCTCAAAATGCACACCCCTTTTCATCTCCATTCTGGATTTGTCCTTTATTAAGATGTGCTGATACAGCCCTGGAACTTTCTTAGGCCCTAACACACAAAGGCTTGGCACTTCATTCACCCCTCCTTGATCTTTTGTTACATTTTTTCCTAAATTATTCACCAACATTTCCCCTCAGCTCCCCACTAAAAAACAGAAAACCTTTGCTATCCTTTACTATTCCAAAGCTGCAACTGTTATTCCAACATTCTTCAACTTGTTCTGTGCTTCACATAGATTTGCTGTCCCTTAACCACATACAAGACATTCATCTGAAACACAAAGCTGCTCGTATCCTATGATTTTTCTTCTTAAAATTCTCCATGCTGTTTTTAAACACGCTGTCCTTTGCTATTTGAGCAGCTCCTAACATATCAGAGCTCCTCACTAAGGGCCATGAAATCTCAATAAATACATCTCTTCTGAGAATAACTTTAAGGTAGCCTATTCAGTGTTTGATGTATAAAGCAACAAGTAGGCATATTTTTGCAGTAAGTCCAAGGAATACCAGCCTAATTTAAAAAAGCTTCTGAGAACACAGCTAATTTCTGTTGTCCTCATCTCAGATATCTTCCCTGAATTAATCTGCCATTGCATTTCCAAGTCATCTCTCTTTTGAAGTTTAAAGTATCCACTGTCAACACATCTTAGTTTTAGAAACCTGACTTTTCAGATCTGGCTCATTCCAGGACAGTATTCCTAGTTGCCACCATGTTACTTTCAAAATTTAGGATTTCTCAGGGTGCATTTAAAATCTTTAAATGGTTCTGAATTGCCAGGGAAATACAGCCAGATAACATTCCTGGCACACCATGGAAAAAAAGATGACATTTACTCAAGCTAATGCACTACTACAATAGCACAGCAGTTTTATTGCTTATCTGGTCACCTTGTGAAAACACAGAATGTAAGTCAGGATGCATGCCTATCCTTGAAGATATATTCACTGCAAAGTAACTCTAATATCACTTCCACAAACACAATGTCAAGAATCTGCATCAGACTTCAGAAGTAACTTTCTTCTGATCTTAGTGTGGATAACTGATTAAGGTTTTATCTGATTCTCAGATCAAGCAAATGGAAGGTTGTAAAAGTCTCTCTTTTTTAAAAAAAACATCTAAAGGACAACCAGCTGCCACAACTGGATCTGTTTCTGAAAGCAGAATGCACACAGTTAACATCTACTGCAATCAATCTTCAGTTTTCTAAACCAATCTTCTTATCAGGCCATTTCACGTAGAAGCATCATTTGGATTATCTGTAGATGAAAACCAAACTCATTCTGGCTCTGTATCAAATTCCAGTCTGACTCAGCAGTCAAGCTCAGCTTCTCATTGACCTTTTAGTTCACAGTGGCTGGTTTCCTCAAGAACATGATGCACTTACCACAGCCAAACAGTTGTAGTCTGTGAAACAATTATAATCAACAGAAAACAACAATGGTACTGTCTACACCCACATGAAAGAAAAAAAAACAACAAAACATTAATGTATGAAAACAGCCAGAGATAATGTTAATACCCAAGTATGAATTAGATTCCACACTCTGTACCTAACCTCTTCTCAATCCTCAAAACCCTATTTTGCAGTGAAATGTTTGCCAGAAACACTAATGAGCATGAAACCTCTAGCAGCAGACAAATGTACCAATACCACACCTATCCAGATTTTCCTCTTAATGTTTTTACAGTGTTCTTATCTTAGATTGCTGGACAGAGATCACAAATGACTTTACATTCGTGCATCATTCAGAACATTAAGCACTATGGACACAAGGCAAACTTCATGATGCAGATTGCACAACTCAAAAACAACCAGGCAGATGAACAATAACCACCACAAAAACGTCAACAACAGAAGAATCAAAAGCCAACATGCCAAAATAGCCACTATTCTTACCAGCTGAAAAAGGATCCAGCATGAAATTTGCATGGAGAAGGAAAAACCCATTTTAAAACTTAATATTCTGCCACATGCAGAGTGTAAGTAACTATTACTAATTTGTCTGAGAATCATAACTTTGTGGCAGGAAAACTATATATATTCAGAGATGTCAGCAACTAATAGCAGTTGGAGATCCTCAGCCTCGTGTGCTGGGTGCATGATGCAAGCAATCCATCAAAAGCTTAAGTGAGACATCATGAAATAATACAAAAGGAATGAAAATGACCTGCACCATTTATGTGATAAGAATGCAAGAGAAAGTTGGAGGCTAAAACAAATATGGTTAAAACAAGTTGAAAAGCAGCATAAGCTTGTCAACTGGACAGCAGCAATAAGAGCTAGCACTCAGAACTGAGACTCACTAGAGGAGTTAGCTTATCTAGTATAAAATACGTGTGCCTGTGGGTAAAGATCAAAGTGACAAAAACAATTTCTTGTTTTGCCAGCTTTACTGTGAAGTCACAGAACTACAGAATGACTGGGGCTGGAAGGGACCTTAAAGATCATCCATTTCCAAACCCCCTGCCTTGAGGAGGGTTGCCATCCACAACATCAGGCTGCTGCAGATGTTCAAAACCTGCCTGGATGCTTCCATCTGCAACGTTCTCTACAGAACCTGCTTTAGCAGGAGGCTGGACTAAATGATCTCCTGATCTCCCTTCCAATCTTTACAGTTCTGTGATTCTGTAGTAATTCGTGTGCACCAAAGGAAAAGAAGTACAGCTACACCAATTCCACATATCACTGTAGAAACAAATCAGGGATAGCTAAAATGAGAAGCAAAAGACAGAATCAACATATGCTAGCAAGTTATTGCCACCAAATCAGGAATTTGCCCTTGCTGGTGCTGTTGAAAGCCCTCAGTACTTACCACCCCACTTGAAGACTTGGTCTTCAACTCCAACTTGACCATTCCGAATCCTGAAAACAGAAGAGTACACAACATGTATTTCACTGCAGTATAAAAACAAGACATATTTGCTACATAACCAAAGTCCAACAAATGGGGAACACTGGCCAAAAACAGCCTATTTCCAGATTCCAACAAATGTTGATATTACTGATGAATGACTGAAGGAGTTATGACAATTCAGAGTGGTTGGGCTCATAATTTCTGTTGCAACAGACAGAATTTACCAATAAATGTCATAGGATACACCTGTTCTTAGTTTTTGGCCAGGTTTAATGGTCACCCATTATTTGGTATCTCTGCTATCTTGGGACCAGTCAATACTGTTACCATTTCCTCTGAGTAACAAAGTTTACTTTTGAACCTCTGGTTCCAAGGCAGGAATTTTCCTCTTTAAGAGGAAGAATTCTTCCTATCGCTCTGCTGAATTCCCATCACAAGGTATCTGATGGGACTCTCAAATAATAATGACTTTGTTGTGGCTCTCAAGATGCCTAAGCCAAAATACAAAAACATCAAACCTCAGCTTACTTACCATAACCCTTATTGAATACATCCCTGGCAGCCTTTCCCAAATCACTGTATGACGGTGGGACAGCCATTGGATCTGAAACATAATGGAATCCTAAAAATATTAATACAGAATCTAAGCTATCTCCAAACATTTATAGACATCTATGACCAAGTACCCCCTATGTGCTTCACTGATGAGGAACCACAAAGCCTTTGGAGAATATTCATGAAAGTCATTCTTGTGTCACTGTTGCTTTGTCAGAAACAAACAAACACAAATACGAAGTAGTTATAAGAACAAATTCACTCTTCGAAATCACTAAGCCCTAGGATCAGTCTGAAAGTAAAGTACATACTTAAGGCTGTTCTATCTCAAAAAGAGCTCATGGAAGCATCTCATCACTGTTGTGAGACACAGGAACATTACTTTCATTACAGGACTCTCTGAAAGAGGCTCCAGGCAGAGAAGCCACATCATCACTGAACAATGCCAAAGGATAAGACAGCTAATTTCCATATGTTTTGTAACTTCTTAGGATGTGGAAAATACATAAAAAGATCTTGATACAGCATCCAGTGGCCATGTGGGACTATTCCTAACACTAGCAACAACCACATTTTCTAATACACACAGCTGCTGCAACATAAATGGACAACAAAATTCATAGGGACAAATGTAAAACAACAACTTTTAAATTAGGAATTTTGCACCAGAAAGTCCAGATTAAGGGGAAAAAAAAAAAAGAAAAAAAAAAAAGGAAGTATGAATACTGTTCTCTGGTAGAAAATTAATTTTCCCCTTCTAGAATAAGATTGCAGAAATCTAAAGGTACACGTGTGTCATAAAAGAAAAGCAATTAGAAATGATGCTTGTGTTTTATTCTGATGGTAACTGCCATTTAAACTTCCTGCAGCTGATTCATTTGTTGATATTCTTCCCTGCAACAGCTGAAACACCAGAAATCCACCTTTGTTATCATTTCAAAAGACTGACTGAAAATAATAATGCAAGCAAAACATGTAAAATCTCTAAAATCATCACATTCCTTTCATAATTATAGTTACTTTCTTTTTCTGTACTGTCATCCTGCTGTTAATAACCCAGCAGGACAAGGGGAAATGGGTTTAAGTTGAGGGAGGGGAGATTGAGGTTGGATGTCAGGGGGAAGTTGTTTGCTATGAGAGTGGTGAGGTGCTGGAACAGCTGCCCAGAGAGGCTGTGGATGCCCCGTCCATCCCTGGAGGTGTTCAAGGCCAGGTTGGATGGGGCCCTGGGCAGCCTGGGCTGGTATGTAATGTGGAGGTTGGTGGCCCTGCGTGTGGCAGGGGGTTGGAGCTCCGTGATCCTTGAGGTCCCTTCCAACCCTGGCCGTTCTGTGATTCAGTTCTTGCTGTTAGTGCTCTGTTCTTTATTCAGACTTCTGGCAAAAATGTAACAAGCATTACTTGGACCTTTAATGTAACCACAAATCTGTTTCTTCAACAGCTTCTGACTTCCAAAAACACAAGTAACCAAAATACAAATAGATTTGCAAACTACAAGTCCAACAATCCCTGTATTATGCAATTAAGCTCTGTTTGGACAGTTGGCTCCTGCCTAAAACAAAACTCTCACACACTCTGCATCCCACAGAGATGAATGCTTTTGTTCAGTGACTCAATGTCTAACCTGCACTGCACGTCTAATAACCTGTGGGTCTGGAGGATCTAAAACAAGTGGATGCAAATGCAGCTTCCTTATCTGATGCTGAGGCAATCAGATCAGCACTTATCAAAAATCACTGTGCAAAATGGCCTCTGACCTGTCAAAAACGAGAGGATACATTACAACTGGTGACTCGCTAAACTGATGACAAATGGAATACGGACTTTTACCACAGCATGATTTTAAATCATAACAGAACACTTTTCACAGCTGCGGGGCAGAGCAGTTTTTTTCGTTTTTTTTTTCTTTCTTTTTTTTTTCTTTCCCCTCAGTTCAGAAGTTCCAAAATCCAAACCCAATGTCTGACAGCGGCGTCTCAACGTTCCTCACACCGGCTGTCCTGAGGAATCCCGCTCTCAGCCCTTTGCGAACAACCTTTCCCTCACCCCAACCCGATCCTTTCTCGACGCATTTTCACACACAAAAAAAAACCTCGTTCCCACACAGCAGAAATCCCCGCTTCCCGCCTCACAGCGGAGCTCCCTCAGCCAGCCCGATAACGGCGATACGACCGCCGCAACGACACCGCCCCGCAGGGTGAGCAGAGAGGGCAGCCCCGCCCAGACGCCCGCAGCCCCACCGCTACCTGCCGGCCCTGTCCTCTGCGGAAAGGTCTGCGGGGCGCTGCCGAAACGCTGTCGGGTCCGCATGCGCGGGGAGGGCGGGGTGGTGGCGTGTGAGGAGGTCCGCATGCGCAGAGCGGCGGCAGGGTCCGCGTGTGCGAAGGGAGGGTGGAGTACGCATGCGCAGAGAGAGGCGGGGATACGCATGCGCAGAGAGCTGGTGGTACGCGTGCGCAGAGCGCTGCTTTTAGTCCGCATGCGCAGAGGGCTGGGCGTGTATGCAGATATAGTGCTAGTCGGGGGTACGCATGCGTAGAAGGCTAGTGGAAAATGGTAAGTGGGAATACGCATGCGTAGAAGGCTAGTGGGTGGTACGCATTGCGCAGAGGGTTAGTGAGTACGCATGCGCAGAGCTGTGGTTTAATCCGCGTGCAGTGCTCGTTCGGAACGCACGCATGCGCAGAGGGCTAGTGGGGGATAAGCATGCGCAGAAGGCTAGGCAGAGGGCGAGTAGGGGGCATGCATGCAGTGCTAGCGGGCGGTACGCATGCGCAGAAAGCTAGGACGTACGCATGCGCAAAAGGCTGGCGTGCGCATACGTCGAGGGCTAGTCGGG